CAGGCAAACCCAAACATGTGCTTCCAGCAGGGCTTTAAATAGCTGCCCAGGCTGGGGGCCCATTGTTTAATAGCTCCAATGTGAATTCTGAAAATAGGAGGTTTGGACAGGATTTCCACTATTGGAGGAGTAGGAAATGAAATCATCTTTTAGTATAGTTCTGTTTAGGGGTGTTTTGTTTAACAAGAAAAAGTCAGAAGAGTTCTGCCCTTGTAACTGCACCCCAGATCACTGGCACAGGTGGACAGATCTAAGCTGTACATTAACTTGTCTGCTGATGACTTACAGCTCAGAAATCTCCACCTTTTCTCCTGCTCATTGTTCTGCATCATTATCATGTAGAGGAGGTTGTGTTATCATGCAGATGCATCTCGCCTCTTCAGGGCTAAGTACAGACAGACCAGAACACCATGTCTTCATTTTTCATTCTTGTATTTTCCCCAAAGCAAGCTTCATTAAGTGTTCCCATTCATCCCCAGTAAGAAATTATTTAGTTCAAGAGTTATTGTCTCCTTTAAAATAATTTTTAAAGCGTGGTTTTACATGAAGATGAGGAATTCACTTTATCGCACAGAATTAGTTGCTGCGCCCATCTCTGCATAGACTGAAATAGTTTTTTAATTTTTGTATTTTTCCTGCAATATGTTGGCACTTCTCAAAACAGCTCCAAGTTGTGAATTGTTTCCAAGCTAGATTTAAAGTAACTTAGGAGCAGGAAGAGAAATGGGATAAAATGCAATCCTGCAAGAGTTCAGGGGTGGGTTATTAAAATTTTGTCAGTCAAGCCAGCATATAAATGACCACATCTCATACTGTAGCAAAAAAAAGTGTGAAAAACGGAAGCATAGTCATACATGTGAAGTTACTCTGTGCAGTCTGAGATGTCAGCTAGGGAGAAACACTGTTGTTTGTCAGAAGAGTTAAAGTTCGAACTCGGTGGCACCAGCGTGACGATGTTCAGGATTTCACCATTTGCTTGTGATTGTTATTTTGGCCAAAGGGCCTGACTTCTGGAGAAGACTAAGGCAATCAGCAGGGGTGCTGGGTGGCATTGTGAACCTGCTTGCATAGTAAAGCTCTGAGATTTCTCATGCCTTCTCTGGGGTGCACTCACCTGTGTGATTTATTCAGTTAATGTGTTTTCAGCCTACCAAAATGCAAACCTTTATAAATAAGCTCATCTCTCTTCCTGAGTGTCATGGTTTAACCCCAACCAGCAACTAAGCCCCCACACAGCTGCATGCTTCCCCCCGGTGGGACAGGGAAGGGAATTTAAAGAGTAAAAGTGAGAAATCTTGTGGATTGAGATAAAGACAGGTTAATGAGTAAAGCAAAAGCCATGTGCAAGCAAAGCAAAACAAGGAATTCAGTCACCACTTCCCATGGGCAAGCAGGTGTTCAGCCATCCCAGGACAGCAGGGCTCCATCATATGTAATAATGACTTGGGAAGCCAGACACCATCACTCCAATTGTCCCCCTTTCCTTCTTCTTCCTCCAGCTCTATACACTGACCATGCAGCCATATGGTCTGGGATATTCCTGAGGTCAGCTGAGGTCAGCTTTTCTGACTGTATCCCTTCCCAACTCGTTGTGTCTCCCATCCTCCTCCCTGGTGGGGTGGGGGCAGGAGCAGAAAAGGCCTTGATTTCGTCTAAGTTCTGCTCAGCAAGAATGAAAACATCCCTGAACTATCAACTGTTTTGAGCACAAATCCAAAACACGGCCCCACACTGGCTACTACAAAGAAAATTAATGCTGTTCCAGCCAAAACCAGCCCACTGACACACCTGGGTTTTTTTCACCTTTTTAATGAGTCAGACATTTTTCTGTTCCACATCTGAGTATGTGAATGAGGGTGTTACAGTCAACCAACCACCCTGATGCTTGTAAAGTGCCTAACTTGGTGCTTGAGCCATGTTAGGAGAAAGCCCTGCTGATTACCAGCCAGAGCTGAAAGATGATGAACAGGAGCAATAGTGTCTGTTCTGGTACTGCCTGGAGTTCTTTGTGATCTTGGACAAGTTACTTAACCTCATAAAAACAGATTTGGGCTGTTTTTACAGATGATAACTACTTATCTCCTGAGAGTGCCACAAAGCTTTCCTCACTTTTCCTAATGCTTGGAAAAAGGGCTATTGAAGTTCAAGCATTAGTCTGGCCATTGAGTGTTTGATGTGGAGAGAAGTGTTGCCCCACCGATGGTTCTTTCAGAAAGTTCATGTGCTGGGGACATGTTTGCTCACATTGTTCCTGTAGGGTTTTCAAAGCAGGGGGGCAGAGACTTCTTGAGCAATCTTTTTAATATTGGCTACTCCTGTTACATACTGGCTCCTCTTCTGTTTGAACTGTTTGCCAGAAGTCAGAACCTGTCCCAGATTCTTACCCCCGAGTCTGACATCTTCTCAGATGTGAGGAAGCAGAACATCAAAGCCTTGTGAGTGGTTGCCCTTTCGAAGAAAACTCCCCAGGGTTTAGCACGATGCTTGTTTGATCCTGTTGGATGAAAATGGATCGTCAGGTCTGTCACCTCTTCTAGACTGCATTTGATATCTGGGGAAGTTTCAGGAGAATAATTTTTGGCTACAGGTCAGGACATGGTCTTTTTGTCACCTTCCCTTGTGTTACATTTTGCATCTGGTGTTTAACATCTGCTCCATCCAGGGGAACTTTGTGTACATCCTTGATGTTTCTCTAGTTGTTGTCTCGATGGAGGTGCTTTTGCTGTCCCACAGAAGAGTCATTTGGCTTTGTGGCAAGGAAGTAACTGTCCCAAATTGTTTCTCTGTAGGTGCTCACGGACCATTTTTTGCCTGTCTCTTCAATCCTGAAAGTCCACTGACTTTCTGGCAGAGTAACTGTATTGTAGGTTATTTTGCAGATGGGATTCTTATGGGAATAGACAGAAAATAGTTTTAAAAAAGTTTAAAAAATCAAAAGGTTAGCTGTTCTGATGCTATTAAGGAATCTTTTATTATGGTGTTTTTGTTGTTTTTTTTTCTTTTTTTTCTTCCTCATTCTAGCAAACTTCCACTGCTCTGCCTTAGGGAGAGCCCAGGTTGCAGCGCTTGAGTCAGCTCCCGTAGGCTGGCATGGCCTTCTCAGAGCGTGCGTAACTCACGGCTTTGTGGAGGCTGTGGATAAAACTGATGTCTTACCTGCTCCATACTGGGATGTCCTTAGGAAGATCAGCAAAGCAAGGAGGTGTAGGGGGAGAGAGGTACAGTTCTAAGTGGCATTAAAGGCAAGTTCCCCCAAAGTTGTACTGTCCCACCACTTCTCCCTTCAACGTTTGAGGCTTCTACTGTGGGCACGAGCAGGGTTTGTGAAGGGGTTTCATATGAGCTGCTGAGTTCCCTGCCCACCCGTTGAACAGTGATGTAATAGGATGCATGTGCAATATTTCCAAGAGCAGTAGAAGTTGGTCTTCCCTACCCTTATTCTCTTTAATAACATCCATACTAGTAAACCTATGCCTTCAGTTTTCACATCATTGTCTTGCTAATAGATGCCTGGTGCTGGGAGGAAAGAAATTTTCTAACCTTTCAGCTTCAGAGCCTCCTGGTTCAGGTACTGAACTGTTGCAGCAACATCCATGTGTGTTTTCCTCCCCGTCTGCACTCGTCTTTGATACCTTTCCAGCTGCATTTGCTCTCCTTAGGAAGCCACACAGCCTCATCTCTGATAATTTTGGTGCTCCCCACAGTGTCCTAATAGCAGTTTTGACCTTTCAATTAACTTCAGGATCGCCTCTTTCAGCACACAAAACCTGTACAGATGCCAAAAGCCTCAGAACAGATTTGCGAGTTTGGCTGAAAGACCATGAAGATTAGGGACATATTTTCCCTTTTGTCAGGGAAATCAGCAGCAAAGGGCCCTGACAGATGAAGGAAACTTTCCCACTGACCACAAATAGGGGCTTAAATTGAATTTTCAAGCCTTTAAAAATAAATCGTCATTTTGTATTTAATTAAGGAGGGTTTCATGAATGTGGTAGTATGCTGAGGTCATGGGCAAAAAGAAGGTTTTCCAGTAATTAGTGCAGGGTCCATGCCGTTCTGGCAAAAACAGCCATGACGTCAGTCTGAGGCTGGAACAAGAAACTGTGCCACATAGTGAACTTGAAACACAAACCTTATTATTGAAGGGACATGTCTGACAACTACAAGTGCTGGCTGTGTTGGACACATAGTATATTTTTTCTTTTAAAATTGCAAAAAGGTGTTGTGGGTTTTGGATTTGGGGGGTTTTTTTGAGTTTCTGAGTCAATGAAATTGCTGCCATGCCAGGACTTCCCTTCTTCTGTTTCCCTGCCCTAAATAAATAAAGTTATCGAACTTCCAACTTTTTTGTTTTGTAAATATGGAAAGTGGCCATTTCCATGTTTTTATTTAGCAGAAGCAGCTTAGTTTTAGTTTTGTCATGTGAACCCAAACAAAAGGGGCAGGTGCAGCAGGGAGCAAGCACAGGGCATGCCCGGGCAGGTTTTGCTCTGGTAGCCATTTAGGTCTTTGTTTTAGGTGAAATTCCAATGTTTTCAGTACAAGCCAAGTGTTGTGACAGCATTTGGAGTATGTAGTTTTGCAGCACTCTGATTCTAGTTTCTGATGAGTTACCGTAGTCCTGTGGAGCTGGGAAACAAAAATTTGACCATATAATCTGGCTTTTGGTACGTTAGCAAAATCTTCACTGGAATTACTCAACAGTCTTGAGTTTACTTGTCACGGATCATAAATAACCTGGTCAGATAATGGTGGCTAATAGTTCTTGGTTTATGTTGGGACAGAGAAGAGTTACACATCTTTTCCTTTTAAAGTCTATAGGAAATACTTATCTCTGATGATGCATATAAATTCCTGAGATAGTATTATTTTTAGAATTGTGACCATTGGTCTTACTTGATTTAATGTAGACTATGTGTGTCAAAGGAGTTGGTCAGTTCTGGTTCTTCCACCCATGCCATTTTTCTGTTTTTACAGTTTCTCTGGGTTTTGTTTTACAGGCCATGACTGTTGTGAGACAGTGAAGGTGGCACTTTGTGCCTCCAGAGAAGGTCACCCTGTTCTGATTGTGGCAGAAGAGAGTTTCCAGTTTGTCCAGGATGAAGCTTACGATGCCGCCCAGTTTCTGGCCACCTGTGCTGGCAACCAGCAGGCGCTGAACTTCACGCGGTTCTTGGACCGGTCCAGACCCCCTGCTGCAGACGTGGACTTTCTGGATGAGAAAGTGGCTTTGGCATTTCGACACCTGAAACTTCCAGCAGAATGGAACGTGCTGGGAGCAGACCAGTCCCTGACCGGTGAGGATTTCTAGGGCACAGTGAGACTTATGGGTTGGCAGAGAGGTAAAAAGCCTGGGAGAAAGGGCACCCTGCCTTGGGAACTCCCCACATGCCTTTCAAAAGGTGTGGTGGCCTCTGTGCTTAGAGAAGGAACCTTTGCCCTTCCACCAACATATAAAGTACATAAGGCACTGACTGATGTTTTCTCTGGGTTCTCTCTTATGAAATAGCACGAGCTGACGTAAATGGGCAATATTTTAACACATACCCAGAAGGTTTTTTTGTTCGTATGTAGCAATGGTATGTGGATCAGCATCACACTATATCCTGACAAAAACCTGTGTGTAAAAAGTCTTGATGCTCCTGGAAATATCCTCGTGCCACAAATCTGTTGCTTTTGCTGAATGTTGGTTTTACAGACCAGGTACGAAGATTTTATGTCTAAAATATATGTTATTTTTCTTGGAGATGTTGTGGCTCTTTCCCTGAGGGTTTATATTGCATCCCTGATTGTACATCAGCAGGGTTAGCACAGAAGTTCCCCAAAATAAACCTGGACAGTTTTGCAAATATAGGAAGGGGAAGGTGGGAAAGTGTGACCCTTCACCACAGCAGCAAGGGTTACGAGAGGTTATAAATAAACCTCAAGACTGGCCCAAAGTCTCTGGTGGCTGCTGAAGCAGAAGTGCCAAGGTGTTCTGGATGCTGTGGCATGTCCGTGTTCTTGGAGTTCTTCTTATTTTGTCACGGGGGAGTAAAAGGAAGCATACTGGGGGGTTGGGGGACTAGTTCCAGTGTTTACAAATACTTGCTGTAAATTTTCAGGGTATTTTGGCAAATAGTTTCACTTCAGGAATGTGACTAGGAGGCATCTGTTATCTTTTATAGGATGTAGTGGCATAAACACTTGAATAGGACTGGCACGTGGCTTGCCTGGTGCAGCAGGCTCAGTTCTGCTCACTGCAACAGGGTTTTCCACAGGAGATTTTCCTACTTTTATTTTTCTCCAACTTGCTGACTGCTTTTGTAAACCTGAATACATGGACAGGCAATTCTCGTGTTAGCAGACTTTGAAAGATTTGGTCATATTTAATAGTTTCTGGACAGAAATTCAGCAGCTGTCATATGTTTACAAGGAGATAAACACCTGGTATTTTTTTTCCTCTATGTGGAAGTCACTGGTGTTTCTTTCTGCATTTAAAAAAGTTGTGATAACGCAGACATCTGTGGTCGAAGTGATAAAAATATGGTCGAAGTTATCTTAATGAAAACTTTGAAGCTCTGAATTGTTGCTGATTTTGCAGGAAGCTGAGATCCGGTGTCTCTTTTTGATTTTGATTATTCGTTGGAAAATCAGCATTTAGGGAAATCAGGCCATAAGATTTACATTGTTTTGTTCAGCCTGTGCTTGTGTGCCTGGAAGTTGTGGTTGTGTGGGGCTCTGAATGCTAATGGACCTGTGGAGCATCTGTGACATTCTCAGTGAGAAGGGGGAGCTCTGTAGTGCTGAATTCTGTAACTCTGAGTGTTTTGACATATTGTGGTGAGGTTTTTGTAGACAGTAGTATTAGTGAATAAACGTAATGGCATTAAACGCAACTTTCATCCAAGAATATTAGTGCTATAAAATATGTTCCCTTTTTTTTTTTTAGTTATTTTTTTGCAGTGAGATAATTATACATAGGGTATTTGGGGGAATTTTTGTGATTGTGACAAGAAAGCAGGAAAGATTTGCATGTGTAAGCATCCTTTTGGTCATGAAACTGTTTTGCTAGAGTGAGATAGAAGAGATGTCCCTGATTTATGATGGAGCTCTAGATTAGAAAAATATCTGTGGTAAAACATAGCACCCTTATACTGGCTCTTGTGTATTAATTTGTGTGTGGGAGAGAGAAAAGCACTGCAAAGATTGAAACTGTGGGAGCATTTGAAGAATTAGGCATATTCTGGCCAGTGCCTCTGCAGTGGGACACGCTGTCCTGCACTGCAACACTACCTATGAACAGCTATTCCAATTCATGTTTCACATTTTCCCTAAATGTCAGCACCAGATAACTTCAAATAACCTTCTCGAAGGAGAAAATACTATAGAAATGAGAACAAAAGAAAATGTCAGATCCCTCCTTGAGAGATGTTTAGTGCTGCCTCTAAGCTGGCATGTCTCTATGGGCTGTTGTGGGCTGGAAACAAAACGCTGCTGTTCAGCAAAACCTCGGAAGGCGGGAGCGAGCCGGGAGCCTCAGCCAGCTCCCCGAGTGCCTCAGCCTGATGGGGAACTGCTGTTCAGAGATGGCTGTCGCTGTCAAGCATGTTTAAAAGTCGATTTTTCGAAGGCCTGAAGTAGGAGTCTAACTTTTGTAAAAGTTAGGAAGTAATGGTCTTTCTGCTAGCAGAAGCTGGGTACAAGATCCACCACTGAGCATAAATCCAGGCTGAATTTTGAGGAGGGGACGGCTTTATGTGGAGGCTTCTCCTTGCTTTCACTTGCACTCAACCCTAACTAGTCATTGAGCAGAGGGCAGGGAGTTCATTGCCATCACACACCACAGAGGGCAGAGAAGCTGCTAAAAGTGTCACCCAACTCTGTCTCCTGAGGCTGATTAACTAATCTGCTGTGTCAGTAAACAGACACAGCCAGCAGACTAGGAATGGGAGAACCTAAGATTCCTGACATTAGAGGTCCTTGAGCTTCATCCTTTCTTGCAGAAAGCCTGGCACATGCTGGAGCTGGAGGAGGCAGAGGAAGCAGTGCCATGTGTGGTGCCATGGTCCTGCTCAGCTGGTCCATCACTGTGTCCTTGGGTTGCAGGGGCCGATCAGGTGCACACGTGTGTAGGGACAGGATTTTCATTGCAGGTAGAGAGTGGGCCTGAACCCCCTTGGGCAAGAGTGTCCTGAGCTCCTTCCTCCCTGCACAGCTCAGTCCTCATTGCTGCTGTTTGAGAACAGCTGTGTCCCCAAGAACTGTGCTCTTCCCCCAACCATACAGTGTCCCTTGCACTTAGTTATCTGTGTATCTCTATGAACTCAAATGGCATCCACAATTTCAGAATATCCATAACTAAGGATTACTCTTGTTACTGTGGTATTCCAAACACAGCATTTCTTTCAGGTGCCGTATAATCATGTCTGTCTTAATAATTACAAGTGCACTGTAACTTTCCAAAGAACATAGTTGTTACTGCTGTCAAAAGTAGGGTTATTTACTGCTCTCAGTGGCATTTAAAAGCAGCTATTTAAATGGAACAGATTGTTGCACTTTATGTCTAGAAATCAAAATTTAATATGTATTCTGAGGATTTATGCAATGTAAATACAGGACTGCGATGTTCTATTTTAAATTGCTGAAAAGAAAATAAGCTAACTAAAAAACCACAACTGAATATTTTGAGGTATGCGTAATGATTATGGCTTGTTTATGTTGCAGTGGGGAAAAAAAAAAGGCAGAAAAAAAATTAGGGAGGATCTAAGGCTCAGGTATGAAAAGCTTAGAGAGCTTAATTGTATCACTAGTAAACAGATCACTTTCAAAATATCTTGAAGTAGTATTCTGACAAAACCTTTGAGGAAACAGTCTTTTCATTTGCTTATTAAAACTGAGTGGTGAAACCCAGACCTATGGTTAGAGTTTTGGTTGTGTGGGCTGTCTGACGTGGTGCTTCAGGAGCTGCTTAACTTTGGCAGAGGGTTGCTGTGATCACCATGATATGGAGCAATTCCCCTGGGAGTGTAAGGGCTGCTGAGAGATAGTGAGCCAGGATTGCGGGCAGATAACCAGGAGACCATCTGATTAGATAGAACCTTAACAGATTGCAGTTACTGATGTGTTGAATATGTGCAACTTCCCAGAAATGCTGTGGGATAAACACCCTTGTGCAGTAAGTACTACTTGGGAAACTAAACTCCCTGAACTCCTCCAGGTAGGAGGTGGGTAGAGAAGGAAATGAAATAGTCTGAATGGATTATGGATTTAATAACACCACATACAAAACCAGTAGGATGGATTTCAATGTACAGGACAACATGAGTGTCATTGTGAATAGAGACAGTTAATTTGGTGGTTTTTTTCCAGAAAGGGAGAATGTTTGAAGATAGGAACTAACCAAATATAGTGTCTTATTTTAAAGAAAAAAGCAAAAAGCCTAAAAAAAACTTTTAAAAACTTTCAGAATTTGATTATTAGGAACTAAGCTCCTTTCCCATGGGAGGATGTTAAAGATACACAGCTGATGATGTTTTTTTTAGACATAGAGCTTTAATCTGTTCATTTTATGTACCCTTTTTATAGTTTCTTGCTGAACCTTTTCAGTGTAATAGTTATAGGTATTCTTTTTGTTGGGTTTCATATCCTTTCCAATCTGCTGCTCACTTTCTGTATTCTCTGGTAAAGGACTGTGTGGCATAAGTCACCACGATCTGTTCAGTGCCAACAGCACAAAGTGGTCTGTTCAGCTACAGTCCTTGATAAGATGTAAAAAGTCTTTTCCATACCTAAATTTACTACCCTCTGCAGTGGAAAACGAGAAGCAGAAAGTAATTCTTGTTCAGACAGCATCTGAAATATTCTGCTCAGGACTGAGATGTACCGTTTAGTCTGTGGCTGAGAAATTGTTGGCATGAGAATGTTTCTGTTCCCTTTGATTTTAGTTGGAATGGGGACATGAAGATCTTTTGGTGTGCTTTGAAAAATTTCTTGTTTATCTGATTAGGAAAAGAATTACCCACACGTCTTTTATTAACTGAACTCATAACTCCAAACACAACAGCTTTGCCTTGACCTTTCTTCAGGGCAGTTTTGTGCTGGAGCCTTCCCGTAGGACCTCAGCGTTAGGTGACAGCTTGTTTCTGGGGTTTTTTCACCCTTGTTCTTCAAGGATTCATCTGAGCAGTGAGAACATTTCCAGCAGAAAAGCAGCATTTTTGAGGCCAGATTTGATAGTACATGTCAAAATTGCCAACTATGTGTGATTTGGGGTGAGAAGCAGGTGAAGGTCAACAGCACAGGAAGAATAGCAAGCACTGCTACCCATTCCGTGGCTGGCTGTTCTGTGGTGTTCTCAGGGCATGTTGGATAAACTGAGCAGTTGGGTATAGGTTACTCTCTGTGTAGCTGATTTTAAAGAAGGAACAGCAGTTTTTCTCTGTTATTTGATCAGGATTAAAATGAAAGTTTTTACTTAGTGTTCTTGTGTGTATCATACCCAAACTTTTTTTAAATCTTCAATGCTTACTTGTTTTGTCCTAGGAGCACCTTAAACCTTAATCCTTTACTATTAACAAAGTACATTTGACAGTCTTCTATGGAAATTTTGTCCTCAGTTGCACAGATAAACTGTCTGTTCATGTATCACAGCAGAAAAGAATTACTCAAAAATAATATATCTAAAATGTTGTGTTTTGCCAGCTGGATTAGAGTGCCCTGCCATTATGGGGCAATAATCATATGTTTCAACTCTTGCCTATTACTAGGAAACAAGAAAGGAACAAAACAACCTTGGCCTTTTCAGTATCATGTGTCTTGTATTTCCACAGTTTCCTAATTACAAGAAGGTTTTTGTTTACATTCAGACGACAACCGTTTTAAGATGAGGAGCTCATGCTTGGTACAGGGTAGGAGAAGGAGCTCTGGCCATTGCATTTTAAGGTTTTTGATATTCTTCCATGCCTGGGACATGCATTTTGCACCATGGCAAGATCTTAAAATTATTGACTAAATTTTCAACATTTTGTATTACAAGCTTCATCCCTTCAAAGGTAGGAAGTCTGAAGGGATCTGTCTGTCTTCCTCCCCTCTCCATCCAGCAAAACACCCATGCCTGATGCAGACCAGCTCTTGTCTAGTTTTGAGCAACACCCTACACCAACAGATGTATTCTTTATTATATATTAGTAGTTAATCCAGCCCACAGATGGCACACGCCTTTTTAACTGCAGCCATACAAGTTTTGCACACTCCAGAACCTTCTAAAGCCATCGCCTGGGGCCCCTGCAGTTGTTGGATGTACAGTACTTTGTCTCTTTGCTGCCATCATCCGTGCCCATCTGTTAGGGTGGCCTCGTGCCAGTTTATATGTTAGGCAGAGTCTTCCAAATGGGCCTGGCTAGTGAGCTTGTATGTTTAGTATGCTCCGATGGCAACACGCCATGTCCTCTTGTACAGATCTTCTGTGCACGTTGTCCTCGCTCCAAGGCATCGGGGCAGGGCCACATCCACTGCAGCTGTATTTGCAGACATCTCCATCCAAACTCTGGAACTACTGTGCCCACTAATTTGGTGATAAAGAAGGTTGTTTTAAAAGAATAAGGAAAACACGAAAGGTGCAGTCCTATGAACAGACTGGGACAACTGGGAGGGGGCGTTTCATGTGTGGACATATGAAACAGAGAGGGGCACCCAGTTGGCTCAGGGACAGGATGAGTATTTGCATCTTGCAGAATTTTCAGTCGATGTGTGTGCTTAGAGGTGAGCCATGAATTGGTGAGTAGAAGATGCTTCTACCTATTGGTAAAGCTCTCAGCTGCAGGAGGAAGAAGCATTTTTGTCCAGGGGTCTGTGCTTATGCTTTGTAGCTCTAAGCTGCTCAGATTTGGTGCAAGACTGACTGTATTAATTAAGAAAATGATTTTTCCTTTCAACAAATCTAGGACATCTTGTGCTAGAACGGGTGTGGTCAGACCAGTGCAATACATGCTTTATTTGAATGGCATGTCATGTTTTCTAACAGAAGTGCTTTTGTGCCGCCTACATCTCTGTAGGAAGAATTGTACCATGTTAATTGTGCTGACTTTGCTAGTGTACAGGTAATGTGGGAGCTTTGAACATGTACAAGTTCATTAAGTGAAACTTTGGGCATTTACTTTCACTTTGGGTAAGTTCTACCTGTATCTACCCATGTTGGCCTCATCAGTAGCCTTTCCCTTATGTTTGTCTATGTGGTGTCTCATTTTTCTTTTTTCTTTAAATCCAAGGCTGAAAACATTGATTGAATTGAATTCCTTGTTGTATTATTTCTAAATCATTACACTCTGTAACATTTAATACCAAAATCCTTCTCATTACTTACCCAAAGGCTGAGAATTTGTCTCTGAGAGAGCTCAGCTATTCTCTTTTTCTCCCATCAGCTGGAACTCCCATTCAGACACTCTCATGTATTCAAGGCAGCATAGTTTTGCTTTACGGTAATCAAGAGGAGGTTGGGGGGAAGGATTGGTTTGTAGCCCAGAGACCTAATTTGGAGTCATTCGGAAGAGAAACAGTGCCAGAAAGCCTTTGGTTCTTGCATACAGATTAGTTCTTCAGGATTTGGTCCAAAAAAATTGGGGAAAATTGTGTGCTAGACAGGGAAGAACTGCCCCTTTTTGGTTTGTTTTGTTTTTCACTGAAGGTCTTAATGATGTCCCTAAAGAAAGTAAGTAAGCAGGAAAAACAAAAGCACTTTGAAGAAGTGATTTCTCTTGGGGCACAGTTCTTAAGGAAAAAATACAAAATTAAATCCTAAAACCATTTTGTACATACATTTTAAAACTTGATATATAGGTTTGGCTGGCACCCAAATTAATAACCCAATAAATCATTGCTGTGATATTAAAGGGTTTATACCAAGTGTGCTCATTGGCATGGCTTTCTGAGACCCAGTTGGTGCTTTTTTGTTGTTGTTGCTGTCAGTCAATAATGAAATCCTTTGTTAATTAAAAGAACAAATTTTTATTTCTCTCAGTTTTTTTAACCCAATTGCTTTTACCCTTCATACAGAAATAACAGGCTTTGATCTGCAAATGCTGGATTTCAGCAGTGCATCTGGAGCTCATTTCTGGTTAAAGCTTTTCAGAGCATCGTTCTAGGGCTCCAGCTTTTGGAGTTGGGGGGATATTTTTCTGAGATGAAAGCTCAGGCTCAAGAGTGACTTTTACCAGATTAGAAGGTCACGGTTATTAAATGCAAAAAGCAACAGCAGAGATTGGGAGTTTATAAATGCTTCTACTCAGAACGACAGAGCTACTGTATAAAGCTGAGAAAAGTTGGTCTGAGGCAAAGAAAACCCTTGCTTTTTTTTTTTTTTGTCTATATGAGTTTTTAAACTGTTCTCTTTTATTACTGCTGTGGATTTATGCTTCAAATGTAATTGAATTTTTTCCCCCCCCCATGCCTCGGGGCAAATCAGAGTCCTGTTAGACAGCAAAACTTGTCCGTCCCTAAAGCCTGGTCCTGGGTGAGTGAGGAGAAGGCTTGGATGTCTAGGAAAGCCCACCTGACCATGGTCCTGTTTGGAAGTGCTGCATCTTGGTGCTGGCTGTGGCTGTTTAGGAAGTGGTGGGTTTTTCACATTGACTTCTGTGGTCAGTCTCACTGTGAGAGATCCTGAGCACTTCCAGTCCCACTGTAGCCTTTCCCTTGCTTTAAAATACCTGTGTCTCCTGGATGTTGGCAGCCAGGGTTGTTTTTCCAGGTGCTGCAGGTTCCTTGGCTTTTGGGCTGTCAGCTCCGTGCCAGCCGCCGTGTGTGGTGGGGCTGGGAGGCGGGGGATATAACATTCCCCTAACCCACAGCTTACAAATTCCCATTTCTTTCTTTCCTTTTTCTTTTTTTCCCCCTTCCCAGAGAACATCCCTCGGGAGACACTGATGCATTTTGCGGTGAGGCTGGGTCTGCTGCGGCTGACGTGGTTTCTGCTCCAGCAGCCGGGAGGAAGAGGAGCTCTGAGCATCCACAACAACGAAGGGGCAACGCCCGTCAGCTTGGCCTTGGAGAGGGGCTACCAGAAGCTGCACCAGCTTTTGACAGAGTAAGGATGATTTGCTGGTTCCTCTGCTGGTTTTCCATTCTCTACCATGCTTGGCTTTTGCTGCACGTTATCCCTGAATAGTGTCTAAGGGCTATACTCCACCCTTAAAGGGAATTTTTATATAATTTTGCTTTTACGTCTCTTGCTAGCAGCAATGGGGGCAGGTCCTGAGGGGTTAGGGGAAATGCAATAATATTATGTTCTCCTTTTGTGTTGCACAGTGTTCTGCTTCCAGCTGTCTCGTAAGACCCAAAGTGAGTCATTGTAATATTGACTAATTAAGACAAACCTTATGCAAACACAAATGAAAAAGCTTTTCTTTGAGCAAGCACAGCTGCCCAAAAGAGGGGGTATAGCAGGTGTTGTGGTGGTTGACTCTTGTGTTCTTACTTTCTAGATACAGTTTTTTAGTTAAATGAAATAATGATCATTGTATTGAAATAAGGCAGTATCTTGTAGAAAATAGGTATATACTAGTTTAGGTAAAAAAAATAAGGTAAGAATTAATACAAATATTTAACAGAAAACAGTTCTCTTATGAGTGGTCCTGAGAAGCAACCCAGTCTTACAGTACACAGCAAGTAACTAGTGGCATGAGCATTTATTGCACTGTTTTACAAGGAATCCTTTGGAAGATTGCAAGTTAGTTTTGAATAGCAAATGTTTGGAGATCTAGCTTTAATAGCTGAGGCTAATAAGGACAAAGAACTTAAATAAGTCCCAAGAGGGATATTTGTATAGGAGAAAAGATTTGGTCTCTATGTGTGTTATTCTGATGCCTGGTTCTCTTAAGCTTTGTTATTAACTTTGTTTTTCTGAATTGAATTTTGAGATACTTGGGGTTTATGTTGAGTGACTCAGTGTCATGTTTAGGAGTGTGCTGTGTTGTCCACATTATCACTCACCATTTCTCCATTATGAACTATAAATTATTATCCTTTGCATATTTGTTGGATGGAGTGTTAGAGGGCAGAAAATGTGATCTGTGTTGGTGGAGTAAGTGTATTTAAGTTTCATCTTTAAATACAGCCAATTATATGAAAAATGAGGGTGAAGGGGAAAGTGCAGGATGGGATAGGACCTATACTCTTAACTTTGTCACCCTTGCTGGTATTAATACATGGATGATGACAGTGTTACTTTTTTCTCCATTGAGTTTGACAGTCATACTGTGAAAATGCAACTCCCTCACAGGCTATCTTTTAAAAATGAAACATGCAAATTCATCCTATAACTGCAGCAAAGTTCTCCAAGGTGAGACTAACCATGTTACAGGCTTTACATACTGTCAAGAAGCTTAAGTTAGCCAAAACTTGATTATAGAGCTCAAAGCAAATACTGCAACCTGAATGTGAGCAGAGCTGGTAATTTAAGTAGAAATGGGAAGTAAAAGAACTATTACAGCAGCTGTTCATGTATCGTGGAGTATATTCATGTATTCATGGTGGAGTATTTTACAACTGGCTCCAGTACTGGCATGGCAGTTCTCACTCAGTAGAATAAAAAAAGAAGAGTTCTGGGATTCCATGGAATTGCCCTGTGCCATTGCCTTTAATGGATATTGCTGGTGCAATCCATGGGATTTCTCTGATAACCTTTACAATATGTCTTTGAAAATAAGACACAAACAACTTTGGTAATGTTACCATCAAGATCCCAGCTCCTCTTCTTCTTAGTATATCCTTAAACTGTTCATTATAGTTTGTTTTCCTCTTGGGCTGCTGGGTGGAAGTATAATGTATAAACATCTGACAGCCATGCTGCAAGTCCTGTGACAGCGAAACCCCTCCTGTTTCCATGAGGCCCTACAAACAGAAATCTGTGGATGCTCAAAATCATAGTCCCCTTTCTCAATGGGTGAGATGGTGGTGGAGCACCCTGGTTTGAGCTTGGGGCTGACTGGAGCAGTAGGAGCACTGTGTGACCCTGGGCCGCAAAATAGGCACATCCTGATTCCTCAGCAGAGACTTTTACTGTGCTGAGCGTTTTCTGCAATAAAATGGGATTGAGGCTTGAAAATCCCTACTGAGAGAAGAAATACAGTTTCCAAATACAGAAAAGCAGACAAATTCCATGAAGAGAGTGAGTGTCATTTATGTGCTGTCAAAACACAAAGGACACTGTACAACCTCCTTTCTGCCCTCTGCTTATGCGCACGCTGTATAATCCGTGCACGCAAATTTGGCACACAGCTCGTCCCACTCAGCAAAATACAGAGCAGCAACGCATGTTAGCGAGGGCCCCTACAAAGGAGTCATTATTTTAACAAGTAATTAAACTGCACTTTGCCAAATAAATGAATGCAGCATGTTTTGTGATGCATTATCCTTGGGGGGAATTTATTGTTCTCTTTCTTGCTAATTCGCAGGACCCTGCATTTTACAATGATTCTCCCAGCCAGCATTGGGAAGGGGTGAAATTTTGCCATAATTAGGATACAATCATTAAAGAGCAGACACAAAACCTTCTCCCTTGTTGCAGTTTTGCTGTGGTTTGCCTGCAAGTAGCTTGATTCAGCTGCAGTGTAAATATTTTTCTCAGAAACTAATTACACTGGTGACATTTTGAATTTCTGTTTATCAGATGAACTTTCTCTTTTCAGCTGTTGCAGTTCTTCATGTTAAAAAAAAAAAAGAAAGATGCTTCCAATTTAAATTTTGTAACCCTTCAGGTATTCCTTTCTTTAGTCTCGAGCTTGTGCTCTGGTTCTTCATTGTCAGACAGGAAAAGTGCATGGGCTGGTTCTGTCAAGACCAAACTGAGGAGCTGTGATAGAGATCGTGTAGGTCACCAGAGACAGAGAGCAGGGTGCCAATAGCAGCATTCATTAATAAATATTCATACAAGTAAATAAATATTCACCACCAATAGACATTCATCGGCTGTATATCATTCCTGAGGGTGCTTGTTTTATCTTTGAAATGAAAACTGCACAGCAACTATTGTCCTGCAGTGCAAATGGAATAGGATAGTGCGGGAGGGCAGGAGTTTTATAGGAGAAAATATATATAAAGATTTATAAGTTATAGTGTATATATATATATGTTATATATATATATAAATATGTGTGTAAGTTATTTTCTAGGAGCATTCTTGTTTGCTTGCTGGAAACTTGCTTAACAGTTTGTTGTTGTTTATTTTTTTCAATACAAATTTAAAGACAATTTTTAACTATAATTTCAATAAGTTATCTTTACTTGCATGAAAAAAACTTTGGAAACCAGGAAGTTTGCATAGCCCTCTCTGAGTTTCAGCAATTTCTGAGTGTGGTAGGAGTGAGTTCCAAAGTGAAGGGTCCTTGGCTGAAGCCTGTTGCTTGCCCAGTGTTCGAGTTGGGCAATGCTGGCTGCTCTGAAGAGGCAGCACAGTTATTAAGCAGGCGGGTAGTACTGTGTGAGTACTGTGTGAGTAACTTGGCCTGTGCAGCAGGACAGCTGCAGCGTGCAGGAGTTGATGTTTTCCAAGGCAGTCGGTGCAGTAACACAATCCCCCTGCCAGCTCCATGTTCTGCCGTGCTCTGCACAGCAGCGAGGAAAATGGCTCCAAGACACAGCGAGCGTGCGGGATTGCAGAGAAGTTGGAAGTGCTGCCTTGTAAAACACACAAACACTGATTTTGTTTCTGATTTAATTTCTGCCTAGTAACATTTTTTTTTCTCCCCAGCGAAGCCAAATGGTTATAGTTCCTTCACAGCTGAGAGTGATTTATGTCCCCTGAAAAAGGGAAGTGAGAGAAAGTAAAGCCCATTAAAAAAAACTTCCATTTTTCTAATCGCTGCAAAGAAAAGTTTTAGACTTGTAACAGTCTTGTAGTTTTTAGTGTAATATTGGTTTTACTTTTGCTGGTTTCTCTGCTTATTGCTCTAAAGCACTTCTGCAGAGCTCCGGGATTGCTCTTCCTTCAAATCTCCTGGTAATGTCCAGGTGGCTCAGTCTGTGAAACTCTAAGTCAGTACAAGTTTGTATTTCCAAAACTAAACTGATTTAATTAGCACACATGAGGAATAACTCACTGGTAGCAGAAGGGGTTTTTGTGAATGTTTTGCAGTCTGTGATTATCACTTGCTATTGTTCTGATTTTATGTAAGTAATTGGTGAAGTCTGGGCTGTAGTCTTTGTGGTGCCTCTCAAATAAGGAAGCTTTTTCAGTGACTTTACTTTTATAGCTGAATACACTTTTCTGCTTCTCTGAGCCAGAGCTGCAAGAGGATTTGCCTTGTATGTCTTTTTTTTTCTTTGCACCCCAATTTAACAAGTCCTTTAAGCAAGTGTTTAATTTCAGAAATATCAAGTTGATGCTCAGCAGAGTTTAAGCATGATCTTAAAACCAAGCACTTCTTACAGTGCCCTGCCAGATTGGGATGGTAGTTGAAGATGGACATTTTTCACTGAAGTTTGGTGCTGGGTTGTTCCATTAAATTCAGTCTTTGCATAGACCAAGAGCTATCTGTGGTGCAGATGCTTTCCAAAGTCACTGCTTTCCTGGGGCTGAAAACATTGCTGTGACTTCAGTGCCAGGAGGTGGCAGCTGTATGGGAACAGGGTGCTTGTGCCCCTGAGAATGTATAGGCTGAACCCTCCTTTCCTGTATGAACCTTGCAAGCTGAGAACTAAGTGTGCAAAGATCTGAGTCTCCCCTTGATCACTTCAGTTCTTCCAGTATTTATTTGGAGCATGAGCAGGACACAGCTGGGGATGTGCAGGTGGCCAGAAGGTTACCACCACACTGGCAGGTGATGCCATGCATATTTTTAATTTTATTTCAGGCTAAGCAGAATCAGGGGCTGAAAGGTTTATTGAATTAAATGTTGATGTTTCTCCATCTGTTCTTCCACCCCAAACCAAGCAACAAATCCTTTTGATTGCAGTTTGGGGTGCTGGATTTAGAATATGGCTTGCTGTGATGTGGCAGGAGAGCAGTTGACTTTGTCTCTTAAGTGCTGGCACAAGATTAACATTTAAAGGGGGATTCAAAGGTATTAAAAGGGCAGTGAAAGAGGG